TAGCGGCGAATGACGGACATGTACTCTCTGGATGGGAGGGGGGGGGGAGACCGGGGGGTGTGGTGCTTCGCTCTGCGCCATGCAGTGCACGTCGCTGATATGCAGATTGTTGGCGATTTACGGCGCTGCGCTGCTCGGCTCGGCGGGCACCACCAGCCGCCCCCGGCCGCCCCGGCGTGCCCACCCCTTATCCAGCACCCCCCTATGACATGCAGTGGCACCGCGATGAGGCTCCTGCTGTGGGGACCCGGGGGACCCTCTCCTCGACCGGACCCCACACGGGTTATAGCAGCACCGTTTTGACCCTACACTCGGAAACGCAAGTGTGTGAATGTCGTGCACTTATAGGTGTATGAATGCCCATTCGTATACGGTTGAGGGAGTTGTTTGCGATGGTCCTTCCAGGACAAAATTTGTTACTATATTGGTAAGGACCAGCCTGGCTAAGGATGGGGGGAGAGAGGTTAATTTTAACGGGGGCCAGGTAACGCCATGCAAAATGCAAAAAGTTAGGTTTATCTCCATTAAAATATATTAATTAGGATTTATAATGACATTACCCTACTGTCGTATCGCGGGCAGAGATTGTCTGGGTGCACCGATCCTCCCGAGCCCGAGCCGAACCCGAACGGCGACCGAGCGGGACGAACCATGACGATGACGCGGGAAGAGCCGAGCGCCGGTCTGCCACTGACTCCTGACTTTTTTGTATTCATCTCATTCATTTGTTAAAAAAACTCGACAACAAATACTTTTGACTTTGACGATTTTATAAAGCCTGATCATACTTGAAGAGAGTAATTCAATGACACAAAATAGGACTTTACACGAAAGATTAAAGTAATCACCTATGACATTTTACCTGGGCATTTTACTGTACAAACAGGGACAAGATTTCATAGAAGAAAGTTTATAAAAACCTTGATTTGCATAACCTTCAAACTTCTGAATATGGATTTTAAGGTGCAATTTCAGCGTCAGGTAATTTGCTTCTATCACACACACCTCACACCCAAAAGGGGTATGAAGAATGAAGTGATATTTAATCATGTGTCATGCACAAATGAATGAATTTAACTGTAAATGTAGGCATCCAGCCTTCTTTTTTAATGTATCAATTGACTTCTTGACATTTACAAATAGCTATTGTAATAAAATATGCTAAGGTGCAGAACAAATTTAAATATCTTATTAACTGCTTTTGATTCAACTGTTTTGTTTCTAATACATAAGCTATGGGTACATTATAACTATATCTCATAATGCTCACATTTATAATTACTTCCATCAATGCCACAAGGGCGGCCTTCCGCCCATTTGGAGTGAGGACTTCCCAATTCTCCACCATAGATGAAGGGTCGCTGACCCGGTACGTTGCTGATCTGTTTCAAACAAAATTCATATGTGTTATTCATTATATCTAATAAACAGTTAGTCATCAGGTGCTACATGACATCAATACATACTTCTCATCAAATGCTGCCTCTCCCAAGACATAAAACTTATCGGCCGCCAATGACCAGCGGTTCCTAATGTCCTTGCCAATTTTCTGCAAGTAAACGAATAAAATTAATGGGGGTCGTGGAAGGTCCTGGGGGCTCGGGGGGTGCTCGGTCCGCTTTGGGTGTTGGGAGGATAAATGATACAAACTACAAATAAGTTGATTGGCCTATTGATGAAAGGTTAAACGCACATGAACGTACAAAATCACATACACAATAATTACAATGAAACAATTACAAATACACTACAAATACACAATATACTGGTTATATAAATATAGATACAGAACCTAGTGCTGGAGTTAGTCTAGTGAGACCCGTTGCCTCACGGTGAGGGGGCCTCACTGAGATCGCTTACCTCAAAGGTTTTGGAGAACTGTGATTGGCTGAAAACCTCTGAGGCAAACGATCTCAGTGAGGCCGCCTCACCGTGAGGCAACGGGTCTCACGAGACTAAATCCACCATAGATAGTGTGCACACAGGAAAATAGATTTTACAGTTACCCAGGGCCCAGGGATCACCTCATCACTACCGTACTATTACAAAAACGTACAGTAGTATCACATCATCTTTTGTGTTGTCGACCCGTGACCGACGGCCCTGAGGTTCGAAAACCATGAATATGACATAACTCAATAAATATACAGCACCTTTACACACCTTTCGGGCATTCTGTCGCCGTGCATGTGAATGCTTCTGATGCGGTTAGAACTTGTTGAGGTTAACTTGTCTCGAGCGATGAGCGAGGCACGCGCGTTGTCTCACGGCGGCTCACTGCTGACTGGCGCTTTCTGTCCGAGCCGAGCCGGGTTGTTCTTTCAGCAGGGTTTCGGCAAAAGCCCGATGACGTCACCGCGGGGAGGTTTAGGAGGGTGGCAGAAGGGTTGCCTACGTTGAAGGCGCGAGGCGCTGATCGCAACAGAGTAATGTCACGGGGAATTTCACCGGGACGTGTGGTAGTAAGTGAACCCGAGAGCACTGCAAGCGATCGTTCCAGTAAGTACTGCGTCCTTTATTCATCTCATATTCATGCGTCAAATTGAGAGAGCTCGGCCGCTCATAGCGCCTGCGAGCCTCAAGGTGGGCCACCCCGCAGTACATGCATGCACTGCAGGCAAGATGTTGCCTACCTGCCCGGCGCTTCGAGTGCTGGCAGAGGCTGAACTGGGCAGGTTCGTAGCGGCGAATGACGGACATGTACTCTCTGGATG